CATTTTTTTTCCTGGTTCGTTCGAAACACGCCCCATAATCACAGCTCTATGGAGCAGTATCAGACTCATATTCTGACTAGAATTGAGTCGGACTACGTCAGGCTAGGTTTGAACTTCTCTGAACATCAGTTTCACCCACTGAACTATTGTTATTCATCTATGACAATGTAAACTCTGTTTTGCGTTCTATGACCCCTTTAATGTAACAGGGGGGTTGAGCATGGTCTAGTTTGACCCTGTCATTTTACATTGACTACATATCGTTGCTATTGGGTTGATACCAACTCTGAAAGCGTTTAGGATGAGAGGTTAAAGAACTTCAACAAAGAAAAGCCAGATACATTTTCAATTAAACAACACCAGGGACTGTTCTCCCTGCTGCCCTCTGGGAAGAGGTTTCGCAGCATTTGATGCAGGACCAGCAAGTTCTGCAACAGCTTTTTCCCTCACTGTCATCAGACTGTTGAACTGTTGAAACGCCAATCAAGACTTAATCACACGTGAAAACATCATAATTGCACCACCAACATGGCTGATTTTTTTTTCATAATCTATTTTAACCGAACAAAACTCAGTGTTCTACCGAATTTTGCACCATATGTATTTATTTATTTTGCACTGCACTGAACCTTTCCATATAAATGCCTTTTTCACCATGACTTTAAACTGGTTTTCTTTTTCTCCTACACCATTTACATTCTGATCGCTGCTCATTCACCGTTATAAAGCTGTATGTATCGAAATTTTGTATTGTTTACATCTGTGTATACAAAATGACAATAAACTTTGTCTAAGTCTAAATCTAAGTAATTTCAGACTACATTTAAGATGCTTTAAAAGTCATGTTTTAGACCTAATATATTATTTAAAAAAAAACACATTTGCAGCCTGTGAACCATACATTTTAGGGCTTGTTTTATCTCACCACTCATTGAATCTGCTCCTCTGTCATTAGCAAGTTCTCTTCTTCTTTCCAGGACGTTCTCTAGCGCCGACTGAAGTTTAGAAGGCAGGATGGAGTCCTCATCATCCATCTAAATGTAAGAAAACAGAAAAATAGATCAGATTTTTTTTATAAAGACAAAACCCTTTGTGATTCAGAATGATGAAGTGACTTAGAAACATGCTCTCACCTTTCTGAGGAAACGGTTGTTACCAAGGTCCACAACAAGAACCTGTAAAGAAATCAAATGATTACAGTGATATTCTTCTGCTCTTGATGAACCTATAGAGTTTTATTTTTGCTGGTTAGAGTTTCAGCTACATTAGCCTCTTCTCTGTCTGACCTCTTCCAAGGGAAGCTCGTTGAGGTGGGTTAGAGAGCTGGACAGAAGGCCGACGATGAATGGCGTTGGTGTGCAGACGATATCGAGCATGGCTGAGGGGAGCACGGGGATGTAGGTGTGCTGCCAGACAAAGGGGTAAAGCAGTGCAACGACTGCATGGCAGCACTGGGAGAGGGTACTGCAAGGACAGAAAATTGAAAATTTGGCCGGGATTACGCTATCACCGCCAGATGGTGCTGAAGATCAACATTTACCCCAAAGAAAATCAGGCATTGAAGCTTTTTTGTTTTTCTTGACATCACTGTTCGTTGCATTCCTGCTCTGAGCTACTGAGAACATTTTTTCTGGCTTTTCCCAGCAGAGTAAATAAATTTGCCATCATCTCCAGGCACTGCTCCAAATGTCAGTCTTGCATGAGCTCCTAATCCCTGGGATGCCTTACATTTATTTAAAAACATGAGTCTGGACCACCCACTGTACATCCAACTTCATAATGGCAACATCCCTGAGAGCTCAGTTTAATAAACATTAGTAGAAGGGTGTTCTGAACAAAAGCCTGTTCCAAAGAGGTTTTATTTGCTATTAGTAGCAAATAAAAGTTGCATTAATTGCATTGGAGGGAAAAAGAGGCAACCTGAGTTTGTCAGCAGTGAAGATCACTCTTCTTTCCAGCAACAGAGAACCGAACACCCGGAGGAGCAGCCGCAGACTCAGACAGGAGAAGAGACATTCAAAGTCCACGTGTTCCAGACGGGAGTCGGACGGCCTGCAGAGCTCCATCACCTGGAATATCAACATTTACACGTTCAAAACCTGATAAAAGAAAACAAATCACCAGGATTCCTTAACCCTTTATAGGGCAAGTTACTCTTTTTCATCACTAACATCCCACTTACAGATAGAGTCCCCCCGTCCCTCAGTGAGGTCTAGAAGCAGAAGATCTACATCTAGCCATTCAGCAAAGATACTGCTACATGGCTGCACATCTTAGTTTGGCATTTGACCAATTAGATGAGCCCTTAAATTATATATTACCTACTGTAAATTAAGTTTAAAAAAAGTTAAGTGACGAAAAAAAAGGCAAAAATTTAAAAAGTTTCTGTAAAGCTAATTGAAAAGTTAAAAAGTAAAGTTAAAAGTTAATAAGTCCAGTTAACAATTATGTTTATGTTCTTAATATATTCAGGCAAGTTGGTGTTTCTTGTTATTTCATTGACGTTCATTTTTGCCATCAAAATATCCATATTCTTTAAATGTTATAAAGGCAATAAGGTCTTGTCCTGGATTCCAGTAACACTATTGGCTTGACTTTTTAATTTTCAAAGTATTTTACTGAGTGCCCTATAAAGAGTTAAAAAAAGTCAATATCATTTAAACATTGGGGAAAAAAAATATAAAATTCGAGCAGCATTCTGCAAAACCTTTCAAAGGAAAAGCATCTAAAAATTTACATATAAGGCATGTAGGAGTTTATGGGTTTTTTTATGTTTGTGGAATTAATGTAAAATAAGAACTGCTTTGAAAATATCATATGAGAATTTAACTTCTGCCTCCCTGCCTTCAAATTCTTCATATTCTTCATATTCTAGGAGCAAATATTTGATTTGGCAAAATTGAGATTATAAACAAACATTAGGGATGTAAAATGCAAGATTCTTTTATAAAAGCAGACTAAAATAACAGCTTGCTTTTATGATTCAGTTCACTGGTTTCAAAGTGACATTAACCTTTCTATTCACTCAAAGAATGTTTATTGTTTGCACATATTTATTCATTGACTATAGTCAAAAATAGGCATAATTTCTTTTAATGAGTTAATCTTATTAAAGCAACATAATTATTGGATAATTTTATTTTTTTATCAAAAAAGTTTAAGCTGTAACCATGTATTCCAGATGAGATGAAACTAAGATTTATGGCCACAAACATTACAGGTGGCTTTGATGTGAAACACTAGATAAATGGTTGCTAAAGCCCCCCTAATACCCATTGAAGAGTACGGAGGAGATCTGTGATGCTGTGGGCTTATTTCTCTTCTACAGGCGTGCAAAGCTGTTAGATTCCATAGTATTATAAATTCTTTGGATTATTAGAACATTTTAAACTAAAACAAAATCTAGTGGAAATGAAAAATAAGAAATGAAAGTTGATCCTTAAGTCTCTTTCAGCAGGATATGATCTTAAACATTTAGCTTAATCAGTACAGAACAACCGAACTACCAACCAATCAGATTTCAATTCAGCAACACACACTTTAATCCTAAAACACATTTAAATGTGTGTCCATATGTTCTGGGTATGTTTGGTCTTTTTGTTGCGTTGCTTACCTCCGTTCCAGAACCAGGGAGGAAGGTTTTGATGTTGATGGTTCTGCCTGGAGCTGGAAACTGAGCTTCCATGATGGCTCTCATAAATGGCTGCACCAGTGCAGGGGAGAGAGCTCGCCGCCTCTCCACCTCATCCAGCACCTGCCATTTATACCCATAGATTATGATCTGTGAAGCTGCTCTGTAATGCTTTAGAGTTCTAGACAGAAGTGTTTACCTTGGAGAACAGATTGAAACAGCCAAGGTGACTAACGATACAGTAAACCTCTGGCAGGCGCTGGCCTTTTCCACTAGGCTGAAATGCAGAGTCATTTTTACTTTCATTTGCATGTAAACACATACTTCTACTGAGCTTAGACATTAAAGGAAAAACAGAAACACTAAGGTTAGACAAAATGATCCCACTCCCCTTTAAAGATCCATAAACAGGACCATATGCACACTTTCACATGCAGCGTACGGTTCCCAGTCCCACACACTTCCGCTTCAGCTCTGAGATGCACTGGTTTCCCACAGGCGCATTCACCATTTTGCTGTTTATTTACTCAGCCGACATTTGGTATTCAGCCACTTCCTGTTCAGTGACAGCACTTTTATTTACACCGCTAGTTCCTATTTACCAGTAAACGTCGACAGTATCCAAACCTCCTGGTGCCATCCTCTCCCGTCAGGACAAAGGAGAACATCTCACTGTAAAACAAGAAAAATAAGGAAACAATTTTTTTTTGTTAAATGCAAAATACAGATATCCACACACTAACTGCAATATAGCTTCTAGTTTTGCAAGGTTATAAAAGTTTTGTAACACTGAGCTGTTTCCACCTTGGGTATATCTCCACAGGCTGCCAGTCTTTGGCGTCGGGGAAACAGAACTGAGGAATAATCTTCAGCTGATCCTCTGTCTCCCTCATAAACTTGAAGCTACGTTCCAACTGCAACAAACAGAAGCAATTCACTGGATTTTTATTATTTCTTTAAATTGTATTGAATCCTTTGAGACAGTGATGATAGGCTGGATAATTCAGTTTTGTTTTGCAAACTCTGCGTGTTTTAAAAAACTTAAAGCAACAACATGGAGATGCTATTGCTGGAGTAATAACACGGTAGTGGTAGTATCATGATGTGGGGATGACTCTTTTCTGCAGGAATGGGAAAACTGGTCAGTATTCGGGAGAATTTTATACATATTTTTAAATGTAGAATTTTCGTTCCAGTTCAGGGTTAAAGAAAACATGGCAGTAGCCAGATTGATCTGTATAGAACCGAGTTGGGTTTTACGCCATCCATCTGGGATGGCTGCCGTTCAGTCTGTCCGTGAAAAGGAGTGACGTTAGCACAATACTTCAAGCTGATTGGGTGACTTGCCAGCTAGTACCCGCCTTCGATTATACGCTTTCAGCCAATCATAGCAGGGGATCGTTTGCAGCTTCAGTAAGCTGATAAATCAATTTTTTACCTAAATCCTCTCGAAAGAAATGCACAGACATCTTTGCCATCTACAAATGCACAAATTGCTTATTTTTGCTTTAGCTAAAACAGAGTAAACTGCGGTATTGACAGGTGTGTCCTCCAGCGTAGCCATATTTGTGATGCCCTAGAAAGGCCCTTCTGACTGTCGTCATTCCCACATGTCGCGCCTGAACCTTTTGCTTGCAGGGTTAGGTTAGGTCAAAGGGGCATTAGGGAGTCTTCTAATGACACTGCCACCTGTGGCCAAAACAAAGAACTGCAGCACTCTTCTGCTCACTCTTGTAGAGCATGCTCATACTTAACAAGGTGTTACTTTTTACTTTTATCACCATACATGGAGTTACCTTTGATGTTTGAGTTGAGCTGGATGCCTTTTGCTTCTGAGTATCCATAAAATCCATCTTATATATAACATTTTGATTATTTGCTAGGTTGAACCCATTTAATATGCAAATGTTTGATGTTACATCTGGACAATAGCATGGGAATACCGGACCTGATGCACATTGAGGGGAAATATGTGCTACAGGCAGTGAACTACTAAGGTTGCAATCAAATAAAAAGGCTATTTTAAAGATCTGTTACAGTTCAATTTACAAAATGTCTCTCTGAATTCTAGTGTATTTAATGACAAAATATTAAAGGTTCAATGGGTGGTGATGCGTTTGCAAGGTTCTAAATGCAAACAAAGAGCATGAGTAAGGTTTCCTTTGTTATATAATTTTTAGTTGATCGCATCCAATATTAGACAATGTTTGTTATAATAACTAATATACCAAGATTTGCTGCACAAAAACAATCTAGGATGCTAAGCCAAAGGTTTGAATGTTGAGTTTAGCAAGAAATATTTACATTATAAATGAGGTTTCACTTTAAAAAAAATCTCCTGCAGATTGTTGCCCAAATGACAATAATAAAAAAATAAAAACAAAGAAAAAAACATAGCTCTTCGCTGCTGCTAACCTTCAGAGGGAATTGCTGTGTGACTTCTGGCAGATAGTGGTCACCAGCCTTCGACTTGTGCAGTGAAACAACAAGAAAGTACTCAAAAAGCTTGCGTTGGTGGCGATCTTGATGTAGCAAGTAGCTTCTGGTGTTGGACTCATCGTGGTGGACTTCCATCTTTCTTGGCTGTCTCAGAAAAGACCGAACTGCAGGGCGAAAACATAGGATCCAGTTAGAGATGGCTGCAGGAAGCAAATGAGAAACATAATGTATAGTCTTGGGTGTGCATATGTAATTCACACCTTACCTTTTAATCTGTCTTCAACTTCACTCTCAGAGTCACTGTTCTCATCAGTTACTGTTAATAAAAGCCTAATTAAATTTCTGCCTTTGATATAAAGAGAACTCTAATATAGTTTTTATTAGTCAACTAAAATATCAAACCTCTTCCAGAAATCGCTTCGGCATAATGATACATCCTGCGTAGATGTTTTTTTCTGGTCCGACCCTCAAATATACCATTGATCCTTAGGACAACCTTTTGAAAGAAAATGTTTGAGTCAGTGTTAAGATTGCTTTTTGACTTTTGACCCTGTGATTTACATAGATTTGAACCCAGACCGTCGGTATCCTGCGGCAGGTGTTGCTGTAGGGATCCCCAGGGATCCAGGAACTGTGTTCAGTCCCTGTTGGGGTGGAAGGAGGGCTGAGTTGGGGCGGAGATGAAACACCTCCACTGCTGACGCTGTGAGCCGCCTGGTTGGTTCTCCTCAGATCCAGTAGCTTGAAGCTTCTGCCCGAATTCTGTCTGAAAAATCCAGGCCTAGATGCCTACAGAGAGAGAAAACTATTGTTACAATAACCAGGCTTAAGTTATGGCGGCCTCATGTATTGATGTTTGGGAACCTTTGTCGAGTCGGCACCAGGAGACGAGGGTATAGATTGCTGCGAACATTGACTCTCCAACTCGATGTCTTCGTATGGATTCTCATTTGACGAGTCTGTTGAGTCAACATTTACATCTATGTAATGCTTTTAATGTTGAAAAGATGGCCCTCAGAATGTAGTCCTGTCAAGAAATACTTCCAGAAACTTGTGAAAGGGAAAATGGTTGACACTAAATGAACAAAAATAGGTTGTACTCTAGAAAGAAAGCATGCATCCCAAAAAAAAAAGAGAATAAAATAAAGTGCTTAGAAATAGGAAGCAGGTATCTGACCCAAGATGTCTTCATAGTGATGTTCCTGAGAGATTGACCAGGTGAAAACTGGGCTGGGTGACCTCGTACGGTCTTCAAAGTCACATCGTATCCTGTCACAGCACAAAAAAAAAGAAAAATAACTTTAGATAACTGCAGCAATCTTAAACTAATAATGATCTTCTAAGACACACACATAACTGACCTGTTATTAAGGTGTCTTTCAGCCCTGGGTCTCCCATGGTAACCACACGGAGGCTTTGAGGATGTCTTTGAGGAAACAGATGGTAGTGGAGGGAGGTTCCTTCTCCCCCTCTCCTCCCTCAAACTCCTGCCCATGGAGGGAGTAGCTGGATGCTGGAAGGTACGCTTAGGTTTGGGCACCGGATTGATGGGCAGGGTACCTGGCTCTGTGTACACATTCTCCTGGTCCTCCTCTCCCTCTTTAGCATCCAGAGCTCTACTCACCACTGATCCATCAAGTTCTTTCTTTTTCACCTCCTCTTTTTTCTCCTTCCCCGGTGGGCTGAAGTAGTTTCCTAGCTCTGCGGGGGCTTTCCTATGGTTCTCCTCCAAAGTCTCTAGCTTTTTAAAAAGAGTGAATACAGCTCTCTTCTCTTCATTTGTTTGTTCTGATGATTTCTTTCCGTTGCTTTTTATTAGCCTCCCCACCTGCTGCTTGTCTTTCGCTTGTGGAGAACAAGGCCTTGAATCATCCCCTGGAGTTTCCATGTGACCTTCAGTGCTCTTACAGTCACTTTTTGCCAGGTTGCTTCTGGACAAAGTGCTATGTTTTAGGTCTTGAGGGTGATTCCCAGGTCCATGTGGTAAACATGGCCGTAAATCATCTTGAGGGGTTTCTTTGTGATCCATTAATGCCTTAGAGTCATTCTTTTCATGATTATCATTCGACTTAGGGACATTATTGGCCATTTGAGGTTGTTTCGAGAGTTCATCTAGGGAAAAAGACCCTGAATTACTGTAATTTGCTATATTTTCTTTCCCGAGATCCTGTTTCTTACTGGGTCCTGTCCTGATAATCTCAGAGCTTTGATTATCTACAGTTCTGTTGTTGCCATTTGTGGAGGAGTCGGCTGGTTTTAAGCTGGCGCTCTTGCTCAAACTACCTGAATTTAGGTGTGAAAGAGTTGATTCCTTATTCTCCCACAGGGAGATCTTGTCCTTGATGTTGCCTACGTTGGACCTGGGGAGTTTGGATCCCACCATGGGGCTGCTGCTGGGATAGGAGTCACAAATCGGCCTCCTGAAATCCACCTTTGACGATTCCTCCCTCCGGTTCCACATGTTGTCTAAGGGGGTAAAAGGTTGTTTTTTTGCCCCTTTACTTTTTTGTCCAACGTTCTTACCACCAACGAAGTCCAGCTTTTGCCTAAAGAAGGGATGAAAGCACACTTTTGGTCATAGATCCCTGATAAATTGGTTATCCATACAGACTTTTAGTTCAAAGAAAGGCGAACATTCCAACACAGGATTGTTGACCCACCACCAAAGTTTCCTGAACTACTTATAGTCACTGGGACTACCAGTCAGAGGACACTCAGTTTTTCTGGTGACAGTGGGAAAACTGAGCCTGAGAGTAAATGCCAGAGGATACGCTTATGACCGAACATCTTCCTTTTATAAGCTTTGAAAAATAAACACATTCTTGGACTGGGGCCAAATTTTATCGGACTGTTAAGTTTTAATAAATAAACGAGAGGAAATGGGAAGCCCTGAGTTTAAGGACCTTTTATGGATGGGGTGATAAAAGTCAGCTGTATGCTTTTCATTATTTTCAAGCTCAGAAAATGGATTATCTCACATCTTTTAAATCCTGACACTCTGCAATACTTTTCTCTGAAAATATAGCATGAGCAGTCACTGAACAAACATCACCATCATTTCTATGACATTTAGAAATAGTTATTCTATTGATGGCTCAGCTATAAAAAAATTAAACAAATTAATCTTTAAATGTTGAAGCCTCACAAATCAGAATCTATTTAAGCTTTAATATTTATCTGGGTATCTACATCCATTAAATTGGGCAATATTTAAACTAAACTGTAATTGTTTAGTCTAAAGGACAGATGGGGCTTAATATTACACCTTCTTTTATTTGGATAGGTATATGTTTAGCTAAAGTTCACCTTTATGCAGATGTCACAGCAGTTTAATACGACTTGGATATTTAATATTAACTTTGATTTAGGTTAGTATGTTTTTTTCTAAACGATATCACAGAATAATCATCTGCACATACTAAAAGTTATTGCCTTTTTTTAAAAAACATAATTTTATGTTAGTTTCTATATATCAGCTTCTGTTATTGGACTTTAGGCTGGTTTAGATGCTTTTGATCAGACGGAAAAGTGCCTTTTTGCCGAATGCAGTCCAATTTTTTGAAGATGTTCGAAGGAGTCTCTAAGCGATTAGTTGTTTGCTGAGAGTTACTTTCCATATTTATAATGGAATTTGAAAGTATGTTTAATTTTCCTGTCTTTAATCTAAGGCGGTTTACCTTTTGGGCTGACTTTATTGCTTTACGTTTATTTCTTAATGTGACGAATAACATCATTAGAAGATATCTGTCAACAACTGTACTTGATTTAAGCTTGCAGGCTGAGGAATGCAATTTAAAACATTATAATAATCTTCAATGCAAACCTGCTGCCAGCGATGTGGATTCCCTCAGCAGCCTCCATGATCGCTGTGCACCTGCAAGAGTCACAGAAAAGTCCTTTTTAAATAAGCTTATCATATTGTTTGCAAATTTACATCTTTCAGTATCCCTTTAAGGTTGTGAAGATGAGCTGGAAGAATTCACTGAAAACACAATAATTTTACATCCTTGTGAAATCCTGATAAAGTCTTTCCTCCTTCTGCCTTTTCATCCATTTCATGCTAATTCTTCTGTCACTTTGTCCATACCAGAGGCTAACTTTTGACCTGTGAAGTGACTAACATGCTCTGCATACTTTCACATGTCTCTGAGGCCAACAATTCAAAGTTCAGCATCCTTAAAGATAGCACTCGGTGATTTCCCAGATCTGCTGCGGCTGTGATCATTTACAGTCTGCATCAGCAGTGGGACAATATGATTCCAGAAAGCTAAATGACCTGCAAAGGTAATACAGGTGCATGGTGTGATTGTTGGTTTTTAACCTGAATAATATAAAAGACACTAAAACAGAAGATAATCCACAGCCGTCAGCTTTTATCTCATCATAAGCAGCTTTAAACATAATAATCTATTGATGAAATGAAGCAAATCATAAGTAATAAAATAAACTAATACTGAAAACTGTTTGTCCACCTTAAAAAAAAACAACTAGAAAATGAAACAGAATAAATATTTCTGCACCATTAAATTTTCAGTTTCTTACCTCCATCCATTTGATGGAATTGCTGCTGTTTAAAGATTCTGTATCCATCAGTACAGCGTCCAGAGCCCTTAAGCGGTCCATATGTAATCACACTCTCAAACAGGATTTCTAACTTGACTCAAATCTCTAGCAGATGGCAAAGAGTTTCCCTCCTGACCAACAAACTCTCCTCCCTGACTCTCCTCCAATCCGCAGCCTTCATTCACCCTCGCTCTCTCGTGGCTCTGGACACCACTTCCTGCTCCTCTCCTCTCTTTTAATGCTGTCAGCCCCTCTCACAGTTGAACTAGCAGAATGAATGACTGATTCCTGACGCTCTCTGAGACAATTCAAAAGCCACATTTTTAACCTATGGCTGCAGGAGAATTTGTTCTGTGGGACATACATCTTCACATTAAATCATTTCCCTCCAAATTTGAAGTGTGTTGGGATTGCTGTCCCAGCTGTTTCTTCTCTATGATTGCTTAAGCAGCTGCAGCGAATCAGCCCACCCTCACCGATCTATCATTTAACACTCAAGGCCTTCATTTTCTCTTTTGTTTTAATTCTTCTTTCTCTGTAAATTTGAGCCTTTTCTTCAGATGTCAAATTCTGGTATCCAATGAAATACAAATGTCACCCTCCCCTTTCACTTTGATGCATCTTATCCAATTAAAACCAATTTTAAGCATATTTGTATTGACTTTATGTGACAGATCAACACAAATCAGTACAATTATGCAATGGAAAAAAATGTCAACATTTTTTGGGGGGTCAGTGTTTTTTTTATGGGAGCACTAAAGAAATGAATGAAAAGAATGAAACAATAACACTTAATATTTTAAGTTAATGTAAAGCTATGAAATCCTCAGCTGTATGACTGAAGCTAAAAGTGCAACAACTTTTTAAATCGCTAATCAAATAAAATTGAAAAAAATAATAATTATTATTATTCCAAAGAACTTATCAGTTGTGGGTTTGGTCCTAATTAATATAAATATTAATATAATTAATTGATCACAAATGTATTCTATATTATGTCTTTGGTAAAGGGGCCGTAACAGGGTCAAGGTCCAGGTCTACAGGGGTGCTGCCCCCTGTTGGCCCCCTCTGTAGCACCGCCCATGACTCTTTAATAAAACTACCCAAACCTAAAGCAATTTTCCAAGCTTTAAAAATCTCACAAAAGTCAATCTATGATCTAAAAATGAAAGAATATTGCACAACTGGAAACCAGATGTGAGGATGGTTTTTTTCTGCAGGTACAGGGAAGATTGTTTAAGTTCATGGATGCATGCAAGTATAGTTCACCTTCCAGCTGATAGACAACCTAGTCTCATTAAAAAATGTGTTATAGCCTCCATGGTACACAAGGGGAAAAAAAGTATTTTCACAGTTTAGTTCCTACATATATTCTTTTTTGTTTGTTTGTTTGTTTGTTTCTTGGCCTCTAAATTTACCAGCCTTCATTTCACTAGATCAGTAAAAGGTAATTTAGGGAACTTTTGGGTGCTGAATATATCCACATTACACCTTTTTCAAGGTTTTTATTTCTGTAAAACTTCTAAAAAAAATACATTATTTTCTTTCCGCTTTTTATCTAATTTAAATTAATAAAATTCCCCTTAAAATGCATTGAAGTTCTTCCTGTTCTTGACACAAAAAAACCTCAGGAGTAAATACTTTTAAGGTCCTTAAAACACTCTGGTATTATGACTAAATAAAATACTTCCGAAACGAATAATCAGAGTAAAAATTGAAATTCAATAACTGTATTTTTAACTCATAAATAAAATATTAAAAGCTTACCAGAGAGACGTGTTAGCTTTCTTTCCTACGGTTAGGCTTTAATGGCTGATTTGGCGCTTCACCTTTTAAACACAGTTTCTTTAGAGCCAGTAGCAGCTGTTTAAACCAACAAAAGTGCAGCAACAGCTGACCTCTGGGCAGCTGCTGTATAGCAAGCCATTTTGTACAAAAATTGTATATCCTTAACATCAGCTGTCATTTTCATATACTATTTTGAAGCTACACTAAACTGTTTGCTTACATCAGCGTGTTATTTTGCCAATGGTATTTATGGTCAAGTTAATGCAGCAGAGATCAAACTGGTATCAATAATTAAACATGAAAATATATTTTTTTAATTTGTATTCATCATATATTACCAGAAATATTGGACTTGAAATATTTTAAAATGTTTATAAATGTGATAATTCAAATAGAACTGGAAATAATTAAATCAATATGTGTCAAATGTGTGTAAACTTAATCGATATAAAAATTTAGGTCAATAATGAAGTCCCTGCAATCAGAAATATTTAGTAAATTTTAAATCTTTCTCATTTTAAAAACATGTAATTCAGGATTCATTCTTAAAATATATACAGTTGTATTCAATGAATTTAATAAATTGCAATATTATTGAAAACTTAATAAATTTCTTTAACTCAATTTAACAAGTGGAACCTATTATATGGATTATTATAAACAGACTAATATTTTCAAGCCTGTATTTTGCATATATAGAGTGATATTTTTGTTATTAACTAATAAAAAGTAAACATTTAAAATCAGATATTCATGTCTCATAACAAAGTATTTTTAATGGAGAAATGTAGTGTTGCTTAAAATTATTTCTTATCCTGACTTAAAATGTATTGTTAAAAATGTATTTTAAAACTGACAAATAAGCCTAAACAAAATTTAAATTGTTTACTAAATAGGACATAATCTGAACTAACTTATGCTTAGATCATCTTACAACCTTGGAGTGATAAGATGTAAAACCATAGTTGACATTAGGAACATGGCACAGTTGCTTATGTTTTTCTTTATATTTGGTTTACATTGAAAAACTTATTTGTTTATAAATAAA